CCCACAGGTATATAGGATACTGACATCTTTCTATAAGTCATGGACTGTGTAAGCTGTAGTTTCGCACACACCACCACAAGTTGCTACAAAACCAAAATGTTAGCCGAAAATCTCGTCATGTTTTTAAATAATCTCGTCAAATCGAGATTTACTTTTGGATGTCATGCATGACGCCAAACCCATTCAAAAATGCCTAAACTGTCAACTGCATTCAACCGTTTTCTCGGATAAAGGTTAAAATTGTCTTCGAGCGAATAAACCCTGTAGATCTTAGCAAGAAAATTCTTCTACAAGCCTTACGGACTGGCGCTACATAATCACAAACCAAGAATTTACCAAAATAACATAAACCACATCATTTAAGGACTTTTAATATCATCAATAGCTAAAATGGATATCGCATGTAACTTGATGAATAAATAACGACATTATCAAAATATTGACCCTCCACACTACGTCAAACAAAAGGTTAAGAAGGAAACCCCCAACAATACTAGAAAGAGCAATAACAATAACAGGAGAAAACCAATTAAAAATACAATGTAAAATTGTTTCATTAAAAAGATTTTATAAATTTCAAACAAAGGTAGCACTGTCTGTTCGGTCAATGAATGCTGAATATTTCCTTATAAGGAAACGGCTAATATCACGATTACTATAGATCCCACCTCTTTTCATCTTCTGTTATTATCATTTTATTTCCTTTGATTTCTGGTGTGTACACATTTCTTTCCGAGTCTCGCCCAGAGACTTAAGGTTGGAAATGGCATCATGACATTTTCCACTGACAAAAAAAAAAATTTTTTTTACATAGATAAAGCCCTTCGTAAAGTGTGGACTGTGCTCGTGAGAACAAATCTTTGTATTTCTTTAAGGCATGGGCTTCCAGGAATCCATTCAATTAGCCTACTGGAATCTTTTCCAACCAATCCGAGGGCTCCAACTACAACAGGACATGCTAATGTTCCCATGTGCCACATTTTATTATTATTATTATTATTATTATTATTGTTATTATTATTAATAATAATAATAATAATTGAGAGAGTAGTCTGCCAAATAATGGTGATGGGTACAAATATACCCAAAGCAATATACCCATTATGATACTTGGGCTGATAAAAGTATAACAGGCACACGCATCACAGCCAAATATGCGAGATATGGTGACAGAGTTTGATAAAAGCGTCACATAAACTTGCAGGTGGAGCTCGGTTAGACATACCTTCAGATCAGGTAATCCAGTCCGTCCAGGAAGTTTTCGAGTAAGGATGTTTACAAATATCTAAATGTGTCTCCCAAGTCGCCTTGTCTGTCTCATCCTTCAAAATTAAAAAAAAAAAAAATGTCAACTCTCTAGACACCCGGCAATGTCAAGCAAATCCATAGTACTGAACGGAATATGAACTGTGTCCCTTCTTAACGTTTGACATTCTGAATTATTAATATTACTCCCCTTTTCACTGTTTCTTTTTCAAGGCCTCTCAGCTGCAGTATCCTTATTGCTAATTTCCCTCAAAGTTGTTTTCTGTTGCCATAGCAGGAGATGACAACACAACTATGAAATTCAAACACACCGTTGTTCAGGGATCAGTCACCTTTAATGGCAGGATATTTTTTGTACCACAAATGAAGTCACATACAGAGTGATAAAGGTCAATTCACCAAAACAAAACATATACGAGTTATAAAACACACTCAATCAGTTAAGATCAGATGCCATAAGAGCCATTCCTCGTATAGCATTAGAGTGTTATTATTATTATTATTATTATTATTATTAATAATAATAATAATAAAGATAATAAATCCTTGTCGCTATATGGTTCGTTTTATCAAGCGAATGGCCTATTTTACGAATAGGCTAAGAAAAGAACTAATTAAAATAATAAAATACTATAAGAGAGAATTTGAAAACAATCAATTGATAGATATCAGTCGATTGCTTTTCGAACAATTTGTAAAGTTTCGAATTTTGGTGAAAAAAAAGAAACATTTCAAACTTCACGTTAACCATTGAAGTTTTATTTGTATTCATTTCTCTCCTCAAACTGATAATTGTGGCAATAAAGACGACAATGTCTACTAATACTATTACTACTACTACTACTACTACTAGTGTTGAGTAGTCTGTGATGACAGTTTTTAAAGTAATCACTTTCTTAAAATATAGTTGGTTAAAGTAAAACACTGGCATCACCGCCTGGGGCAAGTTTTTCAGTTCTTTGCTCATTGGGTTCAGTCAGTTTTTGACAATGTAAACCAGTGATACCCCACCGTATGTCATATACAATAGCTATTACTTCGACAATGATGACGACGAACACTACTACTATTAGAATAATTATTACTGCTGCTACTACTACCGAGGCTACGATAGCTGCTGCTGATGTTACCGCCAAAATGAAGGGGAGGGCTAGGAATGAATGACGTGTGGGGGGCGTGACGGACGAATCAAACGCCCAGCGCTTTCTTTACGTGAAAAATTAATAGTTTGCTGGAAGTAAGCTGACTGGGTTGTGACTTCTTTTTTTTTTACTTTTTTTTAAGCATTTGTTTGTTTTTTTGGGTTTTTTTTTTTCATTTTTTACTATTTTCTCTATTTTTGATTTTTTTTTTCTTTCTTTCTCAGTCGTAACAGTGTGGAAATAGTTGAGCACATTTTTTTCGTTTTTTTTTTTCGCCCGGCATAAAAGTGTAACAAAGATAGTGGAATAGACAGCACGGTACAGACACAAGGGTTAAAAACGAATAAGCGTGTTCTTTCGTCGTATTATTTTTCTTTTTTATCTTCTTTTTTTTTTTCTTTTTTAAGCAAAAAAACAACAACAACAACAAAGCACCACCTACTTATGAATTACCGTAAATAGTTCATTGTAAAAAGAAAAGCAGTTTTCTCGTGGGACGGGCCATTTTTCTCTTGTCTTTGGTCTCCTCTCGCAAATACCGGACAGTGAAATTTTACTTAAGAAAAAAGAAAGAAAGAAAACATTATTTGTTGAATATTTGCATAATTTAAAAAGAAAACAAAAAATAGATTTTTAATTATTATTATTATTATTATTATTATCAACAACAATTCATTCCCATTGAGATATCCGCACTAACACCATTCATATAAATCTTCCACACTCACAACCATTTAAATACGCACGTATATACACATACGCACACGCGGGCGCGCACACACACACAGACACACACACAGAGGCACACACATATACACACGCTCGCGCACTGACTGGAATACGATTGCATCAAAGTTCGCATGCGTTTCATAAGACATCATTGTACATTAAAAAGAACAGTCATTTCGATCAGTCACCTCGCTGGGACAGAGTTGTAGTCACATGCACTTCCAGTAACTAACACATATACGGAAACTGGTTTAACACAAAAGCGATCGCATTCATTCGCTCATAACAGCGACGTGAGATCCGAGGCACACGCCACTGCTCCGCTCTCTTTTCTCTCTCTCTCTCTCTCTCTCTCTCTCTCTCTTTCTCTCTCTCTATCTCTCTATTCCCTATTCTATCACTATATAATTTAAACGTTCAAATTTTATTTATTAGTAAACATGTAAATAGCGCTTCACTTCACTCAAATCAGCAGTACATATCCACTCGTCTCTTATGTTTTTTTTATCTTTTCTTTATTTTTGCCTCACTACGCGCGCACACACACACACACTTATACCCCCCACACACACACACACGCACACACACACAACACAGTAAAATATAGCGATGTAGACGCTTAAAGGAGAGTTAACTTATTGTGTTGAGAAGCCTGGACAGATTTGACTAGTAACAGCAAAAAGGGAAGCTTTTTTAAAACGAACACAGCAGTAAGGCAGACAAACTAACGGGTTCGGGGTTGTTCCCAGGCCTCTGTGATCCAACTTAAAAAAAAAAAAAATAGAGAAAAAAAAGTAAAGGGTGGGGAAGAAGAAAAAAATATTTCGACACAACAAAACAGGATCTGGAATCAAACATTCCCCCCCACTCTTTCTTTCTTCACAAACTGCCCGCGCCAGCTGGACTATACATATTTATATACAATCGGACTAAATTTTAATTGGCGAAGATACTCTTTCAGTCTGTCTACTGATACTACGACGCTTTCGCTTGCCGTGTAGGAGCGATCGGAGATTGTTGGTCGTTGTGTTGCCAGTTTGGACTCCTAATACGCAGACGGACAGATACAAGCGCCCACAGATGCACACTGGGCCTAAACCGTGAAGGTTTATCGAAGAGTACGTGTGTGTGTGTTGCTAAAGTCGGTTCCACTTTCTCTCTCTGTTTTATTTCCATTCGATTTCACTCTCTTTTTCTGTTCCTTTTCAATAGCATCGTTTGTTTATATTTGTTTTTTTTTTCTTCCTTTTACTCATCTTTTCCGACATACTACAAGGAAAAACCAATAGATTCCACATAGCAACATTAACTAAAGGAAGCCCGTGTTACAACGCTATGAAGAATGTTCGTTTTGTTATAGAAACTATGGATGATATTGTAACTGGAAGATTAATGATTTAAGAGAGGTTCTCACCGTTTGTTATTTGTTTTGTCTTGTTGCTTTTTCTTCTTAAATCAGCTGACACACTCTCGCTCATTCACGTCCAAACATCGTTTTTACATACTTCTACCCGTAAATATTTTCTACACGACACCTCCGGAGAGTGGAGTAACCGGAATAAAAGTAACAAGTCACAAACTTAAAACCATTTTTTTTTTAATTTAATGAAAACATTAATTTTATTTGGTCAGTACGCAACACACAATTATTAAATAGAGAAAAAAAATTACTGGTGAGAAAAAAAACAAAAACAAAAAAAAAACGAAAACAACAACGTGGTTTTATTATAGAAAATACAACCAACCAACTGCCATTTCCTTGTATCTAACAATTGGTCCCGTAGTGCTATCTGAATGCTTGAATTCTTGACTGTCCGTTTTTCCGGTGGGGGAACAAGCTAACAGTGACACCCGTTATACAAAATGCCACCGTCGCATCTCGTCACGCAGCGAGGCCCGGCGGGCACTCGCGGGGCCACCCGTTTTACAACAGTACATTTTTTATCAAGTTTACAGCACTTCTTGTTCACAGCATTACTTTTGAGCGTATGCGCTGCTGCACCCCAGGGGTTGTCCGACCTGCACGACGGCCAACAGTCATCTTCCAATCCTTGCTACGATGCTATCGGGGAGCCAAAGATGTGTGTACCTGAATTTGTAAACATTGCCTACGGAAAAGAGGTGGTTGCTTCGTCGACGTGTGGAACACCTCCAAGCCGTTATTGCAAATCATCAATAAACAAAGAAGGCAAGGTGGTCAGAAACTGTTTCATATGTGACGCTAGCCATCCAAAAAGGAGACACCCGCCTTCCTATCTCACAGACAACAACAATTCAAATAACCTTACATGTTGGATGTCAGAACCTTTTATCCAATACCCCAAAAATGTCACTCTCAAATTGTCTCTCGGTAAAAAATACGAGCTTACCTATATTCTGTTACAGTTCTGTTCGGCTAGGCCGGATTCTATGGCTATTTACAAAAGTATGGACTTTGGAAAAACATGGATCCCTTTTCAATACTATTCCAGCGACTGCCAAGGAATGTATGGCAAAAAGCCCGGAGTTGTGATCACCAAAGCTAATCAACAAGAAGCTTTGTGTAGTAATGTACACAGTAATATTAACACACCCGGAGGGGCTCGGGTAGCCTTCAGTACCCTAGAGAACAGACCTGTCGACTTTGATAGCAGTCCAGTTCTATGGGACTGGGTTACAGCTACCGATGTGATGTTTGTATTCAACAAGTTGAGTACCTTGGGGGATCTTGAGGAGCCCAATGCTAGGGAGAGTTATTACTACTCTTTGTCAAATTTAGCCGTCGGCGGACGATGTAAATGCAATGGACATGCATCTTCGTGTAGCAAGAATGCCGAGGGCCAAACGGTATGTGATTGTCAACATAATACGGCAGGTCCGTCGTGTGATAGGTGCAAACCTTTCCACTTTGATCTGCCCTGGTCTCGGGCTACCGATTATAAGGCCAAAGAATGCGTCGGTAAGTGCAAATATATATTTCTTTTTTTTCTTTTTCTTTTTTAATACCTATTTAATTAGCTCTCATTTATTATTCTATCTGTTACGGCATAGCGATGCCTTTTATTGGTTAGGTTTCAGTTTTGTATTTAGAAGTCAAGCGTCTCTGAGAGAGCGGAAACTAAAACTTCTGGAGACTTGTTGAATGTCTAAAACTTGGACGGGGGGTGGATATTTATGTCGAAATCGCGGGGATTTTAGCATAACTTTAGGATCCGTTTGTTTCGTATCTTTAAAAAGCATAATATTATCTCTTTGTCTCAGTCTTTCTCTTTATTTCTATTGTTCTTGCTCTCTCTGAGATGCAAAATTTTCTTAGGTTATCCCAATTTCATTTTACTATATATATAAATATATATATATATATATATATATATATATATATATATATATATATATATATGTATGTAAATGTGTGAGTGTGTGTTTGTATGTATATATGTATCTACTAAATAACAATTCAGGCATGTTTCAGTGGTGACAAGCTGTCTTAGTATTGTCGGTTTTCGACTATTATCTTAGTGTTAATTTGCTTTTGACTTAAGAACCAAAGGAATACACAGAAAACATTAAAATAAATTATAAGAATTATTTCTAAATCTAAGTCTAGCTGTAACACTTTTTGAAAGTCATTCTGTTTTGGTTTTCTTAGTTGGGATAAGCCAGGTAACCTTCACTGATTAGTGGGTCGCATGAGATATAGTTCATCATAAGGCAGATCGAACTACAAAAATAAATAAATAAATATAGAAATTAATAAAGAAAGAAAGAAAGATCAAAAAATAAAATTCAAGGTAATTGTTTGTTGTAGATACCGCAGCCATTTCCGAACCACGGAAGATCAAACACGTATGCATCTGATCTAGAAATGGAGAAAAGTCGAATTTATATTTCCTTGGAGAAAAGATTCTTTTAATAATTTAAAAAAAAATCATCATTGACACCAGTGTGATTAACACACGCTGCTGTATGTGATCTGATTCTAATTTATTAATTTGAAAATACAAATAATAATTTTTAAAAGAAAAATATATATTATTCCCCCGAGAAAATAAATTATTATGAACGTTTCCTTTTTTCTAAATCAAAAAGAAGTTTGCACATATGATCTTCCTTAGTGAAAATCTCCAATGGTTTAAAATGATGAAAACGTTGCCTTGAAGGAAAAGTTAAAAAAAAAAATAATTAAGAAACGTATGTAGTTTATAATTGTTTACAAGTGCGCGCAAGTGAACAAGTTAGAATAAACCAAAAGAAACAAAATTTAAATAAACTTTATTTTACTCCAGAAATGCCATTCAGAAATCAAATCGAGCCGCACGTGGCTCGCGTGCCGCAATTTTCTCATTACTGTCATAAGCCATCAGTTGAAGTTTGATAATGAAAT